TCAATGAGCTACGAAAAAATTCGTCGATGCACAAATGTATGAAAAAAAATTTTTCAATTTATGAAAATCAATGAGCTATGAAGAAATTAGTCAATGGATTAGTCTGCGAAAAGTTTAGTCAATGCACGAATGTACATAAAAAATTTTCACTTTTTAAAAATCAATAAGCTACGAATAAATTTTTCAATGCACGTGTCTACGAAAAATTCATTGATAATAACTAGTACCACTAGATAGCGACACATTCTACCTACCGATAAATGAAATAATAGCTAGTAACGCTAGATGGCGGCTCATATTTTACCAGTCGATAAGTATAATTTATTTTTGTTAAATGATTAAAAATAAATGCAACGTATATCACTTTTTATTTGATAAAAATAAATGTATCTTAACAGTATTATAATATTTGCTTCTTCCTCAAACAAAATTTTATTTTTACCTCTAAACTTATTATTGTATAGATTATTTTTTCTCACTGCAGTTTCATTCTATTCGCATAATAATAATTCACAGGGAATTTCTACAAAGAAGACATTAATATTCATATAAATACATAAATTTTTTTTATCAATACCTACTGTTGCACATAGATACGTCCATAGAAACAACCGCTGTCAAGCTGTCATCTTGCATGCGCATGCGCACGAAAGCTCCCACGGGGAGAAAATTCCTGTCCGCGTGACGACTGCTGCAAAGGCTGGCTGGCGAATGTCAGCTATAACCTCGCATACGCATGCGTATGCGTGGCCGCCAAGCTGTAACGCGCATGCGCACGCGCATGCGTATGTGCAGCCGTCGTCGAGCCGTAATGTTGCATGCGCATGCGCACGAAGGCTCCCACGAGGAAGAAAATCTCTACACACAGCGCCACCACCTCTGTACTTTTTATTACCTTCCGAGTTTTTTAAATGGTAAATTTCGCATTGATTGTACAATATATAAAATACAAAATCCCTATAAAAAATAAAGAACGAATAAATATGATATAGCTCTACGTGTTGTGTAGAGACCTAAAATATCGGTACATTATATTTACAATTAGATTTTTATGGGAAGAAAATTATGTTTTCGTGATAATTATTATCATATTTTTTTTTATTGTCAATTTTTTGACAAAATTAAATAAAAAAAAAATCTAAATGTAAATATGAGAACTTCAGCAATATTTGAAAGGTACATAATCAAAATTATAGGTTACTTACGATTATAAGAAAAATTTCTTTAGATTTCATCAAATTTTCAAAGTTATAATTATTATTTAATATTATGTTATTATAATTTAATTTTATGAAATATACATTTTCAAAAGTTGTAACACATATAAAAGTATTTGTTTACGTGACACCCCGAATAAAAATAAAAATGTGCTAATAAATAAGGATCTGCGTTAATTGGTTAGAATTATTCAGGCGGTGATTATAAAGAGTTTATTTGAGCAATATTAATTTCATTGATATTTGATTAGAATGATTACGTATTAAATGATTATATATTTTATTGTATAGCACAAATCACTTATTCTATCACGAGAGTAATAAGTCGCGTATTTATATAATATAATAACTTGTTGTTTTATTTCTAACCTTATTCTAACATAGTTTTATATTGGACACATAGTTTATTTATACATTTGAAAGGAACTTTTCAAAATGATGCAACAATATATGAAAGAATTGGAACAAGTGAGTTTGTGATATTATGTACATATGAAAATACACATACAATATACAATATAAATTGATACATATTATCATTTGTTTAGGAACCTTTTGATCCAGAAGAATTTGTTGAACGTCTAGCTTGGAGGACCGTTAATGATAAAACAAAAGATGGAAGCAAAGCATTTTTTAATCCTGTCATTGTACATGAGACTTTCTTACAAGCTATTAAAGATTTACAAATCTTAGAAGAACGTCAGCAAAAGAAGTGCGACAAGTTAGAAGCTGCTTTAAAAGATGAAGAAGCTAGACACGCTCTTGAAATATTAGATTTACAAGAAAGGAATAAACATTCGATTGACTTGTTTCATCAGTTAGATGAAAGAATAAATTCTGTTGCTACAAAAGTTCTTCATTTAGGAGATCAATTGGAAAGTGTTAATATACCAAGAGCTAGGGCAGTTGAAGCTCAAAAACTTATGCGTTATTTCTCAGAATTTTTAAGTCCTGGACCTTTAACTGATACCATTTTTACAGATAAAACTTCAGTAAGAGCATTATGCTTAAAAATGATTGTTACTATTATTACTATTATTATTGAAAAGTAAGCTTTTTCTTGATGTGGCTATTTGTTTATTTCAGTTAGATGAAGCAGCAGATGTCATTCAGAAATTGCATCTTATTGCTCAAGAGTTACCCGCAGCCAAATTTGAACATGCAAAGAAAAAGATAGGCATTAAATATGATGAAATAGAGCGTAATCTTATAGAAGAATTTGTTCAATCACATAGTAGAGAAGATGCAGTTAGAATGAAGGAATTAGCCTCTGTATTATCTCAGTTTAAAGGCTATTCACAATGCATTGATGCATTTATAGAACAAAGTCAAATGGGTTCATTTGGTGGAAAGGATGTGTTTCAAGACGTAATACCAATGTGTACAAAATATAATAAATTAATGGAACAAGTATTTTCAAATCCAGAACAAGTAATGGCAAAATTCGTTCTTAACATTTATCATTTACGTCTTCAAAAATATGCTGTTGCTAAGTTGGCCGATAAAACCGATTCTGATAAATATCTCAAAAATTTACATGATTTGTATGGAAGAACTGTTAAATTATCAAATGAATTAAAAATTTTTAACATGGGTACTGATGATAGTTACCTTAAAAAATTAACTAGAAATATATTTCAAAAATATTTAGATACTTATATCACGTAAGTTTTATATTTTTTGAAAAATCTTATGAATATACAAACACAATTAATTCATTTAATATTTGTTTTAGTACTGAAATGAAAGCATTGCGAGAGAAATCAGCAACTTTATTAATTGAATATTATGAATCGAAAAATCACCAAAAAAAGCAATTGCAAACTAGTAGTTTTCAAGAATTACGTCGTGATTTGCAAGCTGCGCTTGCAGCAAGAACTAATATAAATATTGCACAAATAGAAGATTATGGTGGAGAAACATTTCTTTCGGAAGAGTTAGCCATTGCACTTTTACAAAGAAGTAAAATGGCTTTTCAAAGATGCCAATTATTATCACAGCCCAATGATTTATCTGTAAATGTGGTTCAAATTTTTGAAATATTGTTACAATATTTGATAAATGAACACGTTGATTATGCATTAGAGCTTGGTTTGCAAAGCGTACCAATACCAGAAAGTAGAACTCAACCAGAAATACATTTTTTCAATGTCATGCATCAGTGCAATGCAATAGTTCGTCTTTTGGAAGAACAATTTAATGATAGTGTGCTTCCTCTCATTATGTAAATTTCTCTTTTTCTCTCATTAAGTTTGTTATTTAATTTCATTTTGAATATTTTAAATAGTAATTGAATTTATTATTTCCTAATATTATTTTTTCAGAGGTACAGCCAAACATGGAGATTGTGTATTAAAAAAAAAAGTTCTATTAGATCAAATTAATATGAAATTGGATACTGGTTTAGAAAGAAGTATAAGTGCCATTGTTGGTTGGGTTAAAATATACTTACAAAATGAACAGAAGAAAACTGATTTTAAACCTGATACCGATGTAGATACTTTAAGTACTCCAGCTTGCCTAACAGTAGTGCAATATGTAACAGGAATGATACGTCAGATTAGAAATACCCTAGACGGCAAGAACTTGGAAACTGCTTTAACAGAACTTGGAGTTCGTTTTCACAAAGTCATTTATGATCACTTACAACAATTTCAATTTAATTCTGCTGGTGCAATGTGTGTAATATGTGACATGAATGAATATAGAAAATGTGTTAAAGAACTTGACGTTGATGCTGTTACATCATCATTTGATACATTGCATGCATTGTGCAATTTACTTTTAGTAAAACCAGAAAATTTAAAACAAGTATGCTCAGGAGATCAATTGGTACATGTCTCTTTTTTTATTTAAAACTATATGAAGAATATTTTAGTAATCACACATATCACAGATATATTGTTATAATAATTTCTATCATTTTGTTTTTTAGGCTGTACTTGATCGTTCAGTTTTACTTAATTTCATTCAATTGAGAACAGACTACAAAACCCAAAAATTAGCTAATTGTTTGAAGGGTCTTGCAACGTGATAACGTGTATTTTACGTATACAAGTTTTAAACAATGTTGGAATATGCGTAATGTTGATTGTATGTAATTATTGTCTTCTTTTTTTCTTTTTTTTTTTTTTGTATTCATAGATGTAGAATCAAAAATGACTGGCCAGAGGATGATCATTTAAAATAAAATACATGTACAGAAAGAAATTATTTGTAAATAGTATCATATATATGTATCTCTCTAAGTTTTAGTTAGTACATACCTTGTATGTAAAATTAATTCAACTGACTTTTTTTATATTTCAATTAACAAGTAAAAAAAGTATTAGAATATTATGTGACGTTCTATATTAAATAGAGAATAATTAATAAGAGAATGTTCATTTATAGTAAATGTATACTAACAATTTATTAATGTAGTAATGTAATTGTCGTAAAGGGACCCTTTTTCCTTTCACCTGTATTGTTAATTACCTTTAATGATATAACTAATTATAAATATAAGATAAGAATATGCATCACGTTTTAGTTGAATTAAAAAATGTTTTCATTTACAATATTGAAAACATAAATTATACATTGATTTGATGAATAAACATATTAACTTTTTTAAAGTAGTACAATAATAGATAAAAGAATTTTTTAATTCGATTTACATTGAATTGTTTTATATTAGATAATAATATAATAGAAGTGATATTAATGTATGAAATCCTCCCCCTCCTCCCTTAACATCAAAATTAAATCTCATTATATGTATTTGAATGCATGTGTATTTCTTACTAAATATATATCTTAATTTTATATTATTATCTTTGTAACCATATTTCGAGTAAATTATATACTTAAATGGAAACATCCAAACAATGATAGTATAAATGAAATAAACAGAAAGTAGAAATATTGATTAAGGGAATTTCGTTACTAGTACATAATTCATAGGCAATACTAGAACGTTAGAATTTTCACGCACAATCATAATTTATTGAATATCACAAAGACGAGTTACACTTTGTCTTTATGTATTTGTTTTTTGCTTACTATAAAATATTAAATACAGTCAATTTGTATTTTTCGTTATGCATGAAAATTCATTTTCTATCAGAGTATATTACGTTTGTATGCTTTTATTCTGACAAGTCATTTTTTAAACATAAATACTATTTATATGAAATTCCTACATATGTATGATAATGTTAAAAAAAAATAAAAAATAAAAAATAAAAAAAGAAATAAAATAATATTTTAGTGGAATATTGATTCTATGTACACTGTATATTGACTCAATGATTGCAATTTTCAAATATTTTTCTAAATAAACAGCACTTATGTATCAATAGTATTTCGTTATGTATTATTCATTCAGGAAGAGCACACAACTTTGAATTCATTTTTAAAGAGATGTTTCCAATAATATGGTACAAGAATATATATTATGTAAGCAATAATACTACATATATAAATCTATATATCGTTTTGCTTTTAACAGAAATAAAGCATACAACAAATGTGTAAAAATGATGACACTGTTTTATTAAATTTTATTGAAGTTGTAAAAAAGGAATAAAATATATTTTGTCGTACTTTTACTGTACTGTTAATAATTATGTTAAATGATTAGCACAATTCAATAATAATAACAAGGTTTTAAGTTCAGATTTCACTAAACAGTCTGAAGAACTATTGTAGTAAAAGAAGATAGAGAAGCTCACAGGTGGTATCAGCGCATGCGATACGTATTTGTTTCATGAATTTCGCACAAATCTCCCTTGAAGTCTAACTCGATACTGAAATCCAGATCTCTATAATTTCTTGCATTGGGCTTCATAGAAAATACACCATATATTTCTTCTCCTTTTTTTACTGTCATGTATTCATCAAAATAAAACACTGTTTGCTTCCAGTGCGTATATTGCACTTCAGGCGCTGTACTAAAGCCAATTCGTTTGTGGCACTTAGTGAATTCGATATTGAAGAATGTAACTAGCGCTTGAACATAATCATTTCTACGAACTTGAAGAGTAAATGGTGATGAGAATTCTAAATCGGCCTTTGTTACAGTATATAGATCAACTTCTTTGATTAGACATGCATTTGTTACTACTTGTTTTGGATCTACGATATCCACCAATGGTTCGCTTATCGCTACTTTCCTTATGCTACTCATATCAAAGCCATATACATCATCCCACCAATTAATTTTTTCGTCCTTATATTGTCTATCCTCTATGCCGCATATGAATAGAGTTGCTTTGTCAGGAAATAACATTCCATCTTCGCGTAGCCACTTATCTCTAGCAAAAAGCACTGTGTCCAGCATAGATTCGTAAAATAAACAATAGCCCATCCACTCGGATATAATTATGTCTACTTTTTCTATGTTATCTGGTAAAGTAACTTCTTCAACTTTGCCTTTCAAAATTGTTACCACATTTGAAAGTTGATTGGCCTCCACAATTTTTTCTGCATACTCAACAATATTGGAACATTCTATTCCAATAACTCTGGCAGCTCCAGCTTTTGCTGCAAACATGGATAATATACCTGTACCACAGCCTATATCCAAAACCGTTTTTCCTTTAAAAAGATGTTTATTGTGGTACATGGAATTACGGTATGTCATAGTTCGTACTTCATCCTTTAACATTTCTTCGTGTATTCCATAATGAGCATAAGAATCGAAGTAATAATCTCTAGATGTCATATCTTCCACAGATACAGATTCTTTGCATGATGGCATGCTACTAGCATTTGTAGCTACTACAGGAGCTGATTCTCCAACATCCATTGATTCCATTTTTGAAGTCTGTAATCATTCGTTACAATATATATTAGAAAAATGCTATCATTTAAACTTCTTAAAATCTAATAGAATTCACACTTTAACAAATATATAAACAAAATATTTCATCAAATTCCACCATTTTGTAACTATAAGAAATCACTTATATATTATACTTGGTCATTTTCTCTTTTATAAAGAATAACTCTTTGTTTGCAAATAATAAATAACTAATAATATAAATATAATATAAAATTTGTTAAAATCGTATGTTTTATGTAAAATAAAATTAAAAAAAAAAAAAAAATTTGTATATAATAAAAATGTACATTATAGGTATGCAAGAGAGATACATAATCATATTATTTACAATACAAATTGTGCAATAAAAATGTTTAAAATTAAACAAACTATTTACTATGATCTAAGAAGACGCACGTGCCCGCCAAAACGAATGGCGTCTTTTACAGATCGAATTATCCATGAATATTGTCCATCATGCGGGTACGTAATTCATGTGTCATTATATATTGTATAGCTCCAGCAATACAGTGATTAAACGTAGTTCAATTAATTAAAAATAATGCGAGGAAATTACTAACGATATTTGGACATTATTACCAAGGAACCAATTAAAGTAATAATTATACTTTTCGTCATACATTTGCTATAACTTTGCGATTGGTAGTCAAAATAATTAGTATATGTATTAGTAGTTGATTTCTTAGTAATCGTCACAATAAATATACTTTTTATTACAATATTTTATCTAACGGATAAAACTTTTGTAATTTAATTATAAAAATAATTTGTTCAAAGTTACCTGGTTTTCAGTAGTACACATGCCACCTTGGTTGATTTCTGCCGGCACTTCATTAGCTGCCGCCATTTTGTTCCGCGTCACAGCAGACGACTACCTTCAGGAACGTATGCAATCGTTTGCATACGGGTGAATTACATACCTACAATTTCGAATGAAGACAAATTGCAATGAAAAATAAGAAAAACAATGTTAACTAATAACAATTCATATAGGCGAATACTTATTATCAATAAAATTAGCTTATTAAATGTAGAAAAACTATGAAACATTTAATGACAATATTACATAGATTTTCTTAATTGTAAAACATAATATTTATATAATATTAATAATGTAAATTATAAATTACCATTTAATGTGATAGTAATTGTTTTTCTTTTTTCAAGATAGTACACACTTCACAACAATATCTCTATAACATCGATATTCCACATTCACTCCAAGTTTTAATTTGTTTCCAATATTCATGTGTAACTCTTTTTAGACAACTTTAACGTTTAACAATAATGTGAATTTACCAACAATGAAAAGAATAAATTTTTCATGAAATATAATTTCACATTGATTTTTTAATCATTTGATAGAAGAAAGTATATAGAAAAAAAAATCTAGAAATGGTAAAAATGTACAAGACAGAATGACGAAATGTCCTAGAAGGTAGAATTTTCAAGAACAAAGAATCATTTGATACGTCCCTGTTAGATGCGCAGTGCAGTCCTCCGAATATTTCTCATTATCTTGTATTAAATGTATTTATTTATCTGATTGTTGATGTTAAAAATTCTATTTTTAAAAAACAAAAATAAATATAATAAAATAATTCATAATATTTCATCGTAAGAATAAATTCGAATTTGTAGATTAGCTCAGTTGTTGTTTGATGGAAAAAAAAGTGTCGTCCAATAAGGTGCGAGATAGCTGATAAGTTGTGTCGGGGTGGAAATGGGCAGGGAACGGGAGCTTGCTTGTACGCTTTCGTGCTGTGAAGTGTTGGTTTCTTAAAGGGGGCCATCTCGACTGTTCTTCTTCATTCACCAAGCTCTATTTGTGATTCTTGTCTGTGAAAACGGAACACGTAATTGTTTTTAATGTGCCGCGAATATCAGCGATCAAAGCTCATTTACATGGTGATTGTAAAGCGTTAAAAGATGTTGGTAAGCAAACAGGCGGGAGACAAAAGTTTAACATTAAGCAAGTGTACGAACATTGCATATACTGCGATCTATCTCTTTCTTCTATTCCTTTTATTTTTCTTCTTACTTTACTTTATAATATGTCTTGTCATTTGGATTGAAAATACTTTTCGTCATTATAATAATATTATTTCGCGTTAATATTCTTCCTTCTATTCTTCTTTCTTTCTCTACATATGTCTTAGCTCGGTATCTCCTTCGAGGTTACAATTATTTAGCAATATTTGAGATAGCAGTAATCTGTCAGTAATGTGATTATACTTATTTTTATTATAAATCTACTAGAACAATACGAAATAATGATATTTTGCAAAGAAACTTTCGTTGTTATTGCTGATCTCTTCTCTCTATTGCTTGCTCTCCTTCAAGGAGAACTTACTTTTTACTTTTTACAAAAATAATTGTTACCGTAAACAATGACTCTTGTAATCGATATATAGTTTATTTTTTCTTTTGTTTATTTTATGTTATAGAAATATTTATTTTGCAGCTTTTGATAATTCAACCAATTATGACGGAAGAATGTGTGTGTATACATATTTATGCTGTCGCGCGCGCGCGCGCGCGCGTGTATATTTGACGCAAGCAAGCAAGCAAGCAAGGCATTTTTCTATATACGCATCGCGCGCGACCCTAATTATATATATTTCGAAAAGTTTTCAAACAATATAATGGTTTTATTTCTTAATTCATCTGTTTCTTTTTTTT